TCAGTTATCTATTTTGAGATTCATGGTATATATATACAAGTTTGTTTTAGTTAAGACCTACATGAGAAGTATGTTATAGCTGACAATCACAGTACGTTGTTTTACACAGTTTTTCACAATCTTAAAAAATCCATATCTTCTTGCTACAAATTGGTAGTCATGATCATTTTTCAGGTTTCTAGATTTGGTTTGAGTGAATATGAAGATGCTTTCTCAACATAATCATGTCAACTAATGTAGGTTATTTCACTGTTCCAGGAAGAGTCAATATGCACAATCCTAATTCTATAAATAGAAAGGTTATTTTTGTGACTTGAATTATGATCCCCATGTCACAAAGTAGCAATCTTAAAGCTGCACCAATGTTCATCCTCATAAAATTCATTTACCCCTTTCTTCAAATTATTTTTATCCACAATTGGCCTCTCCATTCTTTTCCTTAATCATGCTATGAAAATCCATTGCTTCTCCTTGCATCATCTCCAAAGTCCACTTTATCATTTTCTGCTTCTCTTCAATGCAATTTTTAAAGAATGACAAACTTTACTTTCATGCTTCAGGCACCTACATTTGTCATACACAAGTGACCCTTCTGGGTGGTTTCAGTTCATCATTCCGTGAACTAAAATACTAAAACCAAGGCCTAGTACACATAGTTTCACTAAGCCCAAACCTAGATAACATATAGATTTGAGAAATCGAGCTTTAATATGCATATGCCGACTTCAGGCTTAGGGTCGGCACAAGAATATTATCTAAAACCACATCTCAAGATCGCTATCTCAAATTGAAACTCGTATTCTGGGCCATGATTGCCAAACAAAAATTCAAGAAGTCAACCCAGGGCTTCAACTTGAAGCTCTAATAATCAGTTCATTCGAAGAATGACCCAACGGAGAACGATATGGCAAGCGAATCGAGACAGAAACAGTAGCGAAGCCGACCTGATACGACAACCCGAGGCGTTGAGATCGGCCGCGCAGCCCAGCGGCGACGGTGAGGATGGCGCTGGTGATGACCAGGGTCCGCGTGACCGGCGCATTGTCTGCAGAACGAGGGTTTCAAGAAACCAGGAAAAAGAAGACAAAGAAACTTGAACCAATCACCGGTAGAATCGCAAACACGGGGCGGGGGGATGCTTACGGAATCCGGATGGTCCGGCGTGCATCTTCGATCGCCAAGCGGAGGAGGACCAAGGAATCGATCGCGGCCTGCTTGATTTCGAACAGCGGGCACAGAAAACAAACGGGAGAAGAAAAGAGGGTCAGGAGGGATCGATGGAAAAAGGGAGAGGAGAGGTGAACCGTAGTCGGCGATCTCTGTCCCCTCTCTTAATTGGTTAGGTCAATTGGGAGACTTTAATGGCAAGTCATCACCGCCGTCCCGTTCCGTAAAATGACGGCCCATTAAGCTTATCTTCAAATATATCAGCCCAACAATTACTTTTTTTCCTTTTTTAAATTACTTATTATATGTGGGTTTTTCATATATATATATATATATAATCTTCTTAATTTTGGTGTATACATGTAGCCCAATTGACATAGCCAGACAAATAATGCTTAGCTTTATATTCGTGTCAATATTATTTTTTGTAAACTTCTTTTTTATATCTTGGTATAAATATTATTATTTATTTATTTATTTATATATTATAATTTATCTCACAAAGATTGACATAGCTACATAAATAATGCTTTTATATTTCTGTTAATATTTATTTTTTAAAATTTTTTATATTTTGTTACAAATATAAAATATTCTTAATTTTTATATTTATTTATATATTATAATTTATCTCACAAAAGCCAAAAATATGTATATATGACCTCGTAATTAATTAATTTACCTTAGATGATTGTTTATGACGGTTAGAATATAAGTACTGTAAATCTAATTGACATTAATATCATTTAAAAATATCAAATTATTATCATGCTATAATATGATGGTAAGAATATTTTTATGTTATAATATTTTTATTTCAAACTAAATATTAGTAATGATTAAACTAAGATTTATTATAGTGTTCGAATCTCGTACACTTTTAACTATAACTAGTATGTCAATAGTAGCATAAATAAAATGTATATGTTATCTTCAGTTAGTGAAATGATTTGTGATGTATATGTTTTATGATAAATGACATACTCATATTTTCAATTTTTAAGGTTGAAATACATGCTTTTCAAAAAAAATATCAGTGTTTTATGAAATATTGATTGAGTATGCATAAACATCAATGTTTACGTTAAGCATAACGTAATAAGTCAAAGTGTGTTAACGGATTTGAATATAAGATTAAGTTATGATAATAAGCATACATATAATAACTATAAATAATAATAAAATTTTAATTCACGAATATCAAGGTTTGAATAAGTTTGACTATCATTAACGTAAAGAAGTTTATGTGTTAAACTTCATGTATATAAAAGATAATAAGCTACTTAGGTATGAATAAAGTACTTAAAAATTAAATAGAGATATAAATCAGTGCTATACTAAGAATGTTAAGATACATAATTGAAATTAAATGATGAGTTTAGATTAAAAATATCTTCTTTATTAAACCAAATTAAATTGAAAGTTGCTACAACAATATAATTATATTAATAAAATAAGAGAAAAAAACTTAAAATATGATATAATATGATTGAATCCTCGATCTCAAAAGAACCTCTTAAGTATCCTTATATTATTTTGGTCTTATTCTCTTTACCAACATAATAACTCATGACCCTTTCTTAATTTTGGTCTTATTCTCTTATAGTTCTAAGGCCTCTAGTATAACCATAATTTGAGAATAGTGCATAGAGTTGTGTAGATATTCAAAATCCTCAATTTTTTGATAAGTGGTCCTATTTAAGCTTAATTTATCCTCTTAGAGATATGATTAGACTTTGGTCTTTTGGTATATTTTAAAATATTTTCTTATAGTTACGTGAGATTTAGAATTGAGTGTATAGGTTTATAAATTCAGATAATCCAAACCTAGTTTTAGCAAAACAGAATAAATATTAGTAGTTGAATTAGGAGGATAGTTTAGCCTCTAAATGATTCTATTTTAAGTTAAAATTTGGTGTGTATTTAGTTTTATATGTTTCTTATTTTTTATAAAATTTCATGATAATTCAAGATCATTTGGTCAGTTAGAATAATAAAAATAATTTTTTTCATTGAATTATATAATGGTTTGATTAATATTAACTAGTCTATTTAATCGAATTATTGAAAAATTAGATGAATTTAGATAAATTTTTAGATTAAGTATAGTTTATTTTATGAGAGATTTCATCAAATATTTTTATGAATTATTATAAATCGATAATTCAAGAGGTACGGTTCTTAACTTCATAACCCTATACTCCCAATTTATCACTTTCTAATACATTTGATTATTAAGGAATATGATCTTGAGTTTAATTAAATAAGTATGAATTTAGTTTATTATAAAATAGTTATCATATAAATTATTATGTACATATATGATAATATACGGTATGGGAGTGCACATGTTTTTTATGACGTGTGATGTAAGAGTGCATGGATATATCATAACATGTAATACACTTATATGTTATGACATACGGTGTTAGAGTATATTATGATGTATAGTGTGAGAGTGCACGTAAATGTTACGACATGCAATGCTCATATATGCTATAATATGCAGTGCGAGTGCACATATATATTATGACATGCAGTGTATGTATGTATTATGACATAATGTATGAGAGTACATGTATATATTAAGATGATGTGCAGTATGAGAGTACACGTTTATGTTATGATATGGGATGTAGAAATCCATGAATTTATTATATTTCATATATGTGCATATAATCATTTTGAATTATTTCAACATAGAATTTTATTTTTTTATTTTACATATGCTAGTTGTAGGGTTTTGCTTACTAAAGAAGTGATAGGATGATGTGTTTATTATTAATTATCTTATGATGATTTTAAAATATGATATATATGACATGATACATGCTCACCTGAATAAAACTATAAAGACTTATACTCACTGAATGATTACTCACTATAGATCATATTTTGTATATAAGGATACTAGTATCTTACCATAGTTAGATAGGAAAGTGAGCATGTGCCAAACCCATGCTAGCACGGATATGGACGATAACTTATAAACATTTTATGTGTATAAATTTTGGATATATTATATTGATGTTTTTCTTTATTTAGATATTATAACTATATACATGTGTCAAAAAATATCATGTATAATGGAAGTTTTGTCATTTTATTTAGTAAGTGAACGTGTTTTAATTTTAAGATTATCTACTTTTCACTGCACTCCTATCGGTAATAATAATAAAAATTAAAATATAACATTATACTTTAGTCATAGTTATAGGGTATGGATTAAATTAGAATTTAGAAGATAAAGTATAAGCAAAAGATCTTAAGATTTGAATGGACATGTAAATAATACTAAATTTTATAAGGTAATATATAAAAAAAGATTTTGAATGATTTTTTTTGTTGTTGCTATCACTCTAATTTTGGATATTTTAATGATTTCATAACTTATTTATTGTGATGGATATTTTAATGATTTCATACCTTATGAATAGTGCTAAGGCAATGATGTTACAACTACACCTTAAAAAAAAAGAGTTAATGATGAATATAAAGAGTACAATTTGGATTTTTTTTTACGTTCTTTGAAATATATTTTTATATTATTTTGCTAATGATTTTTTGATTTTTTATTATTATTATTATTTTTAAAGTGTAAGTGATGAAGATAAAATTCAAGTTTATCACACGATATTACGACGAACTATAAAAGATTTATTTTTTTTTAAGTATGATGACAAAAATAAAACTTGATCCAAAGATTTAGTAGAAAAATAATAATTGATTAAAAAAATTATCTATTGAGGTTTCTGATTTTTTACTTTTGATATAGATATTTTTTTTGACATTGATCAAACATGTGCTGAGCTATCATTATCATGCAAATAATAAGATGCAAATTAAAGAACATATTATTCGACTGAGGCATTCCTCAAGCAATTACACAGTCTCATGTACATCTCTTCCTCTTCAAACAATTCATGGCTACTTCTCTGAAGTCTCTGATTCAGTTTCAAGATGCACTCTCTTCTTGTTGTCATGAAGAGGAACACCAAAGAGCTTGATGCTGCCTTCGTCCCTGTGCCACTGTGATCCTGATTGCGAGTCCATCACTAGCCTATGACCTCTAGGATCAGCACAACTTTGATCTGTGGAAACCGATGCGACATGGTTTTGGAGGAAGTGCATGATGTCATTGTACAGCTTCTTCATGTGGGTGAGCTCCGACAGGAGGAGGGAGTTCCTCCTCCTCAGCCTCTGGTTGTCCTGCGACAGAGCCGAGAGGAAGTCGGCGTCTCCACCTGCTGCGGTCGGAGGAGGCTCAATCCAACTGCTCGCTTCATCTGGAAGGTGATGTGGCGGCGGCGAGTGATTCAAGAGCTGGTGTTGCAAGTGGTTGTAGCTTTGAGAGGCTTGAGAGGCCTTCCTTCTGTGGATTTCTGAGAGCAAATGCTTACCCCCTTTCCTAAAGAACTCATTCGCAAACTCCCACCTATCTGCAGCTATCTTTCTGAATCCCTGCAATGGTGTCAACAAAAAAGCCTATCAGATTTACTCCGTTAGGAATCAGCATTCCTGCAAGAAGGCACTTCCAAGGAGCTTACGTAGGTGTTGAGCTGCCTGACAAAGCTGGAGAAGTTGTTGTGCTTGAAGTAATTGGGAAGGAGGTCCCTTGCAAACTCAGGCGGCCTCCAGACCACAAAGGTGGTCTCATCTTCACCCCAGGAGACAATGTGGTCTGTGTCAGGGTCATCAACGATCTGGTATGTCTTGGTGAGGAAAGGAGCAGGCACTGGTCTGTGAGACACCATAGAGGCAGCCATCTCTCCACACCTCTCCACCAAGAAGGCCATGGCAACACAAGTAAGAAAAGGAAGCCTGTTCCTGCTGGCTCTGCTATGCATTTTTGGATCTCTCTCACTCTCTCACTTTTTTATATACCTATAGAGGTGTGTGAATATTTCCAGTCCATGGAAGTAATTGAAAGTTGGAACTTTTCTCAATTATAACTTTCCTTTTCTCACTGATAAAACACTTTCAATCATTTACTTGATATGACAAAAAGTATTTGGGTTATGATGACAAGCACTAAAAGTCCTATTGTCAACTGGAAGAAAATTAGTCCTGGGCATTTCAAGGAAATATTTGTGCCGAAAAAGGCATTTCTAGGAAATTTAGAGTACTTGTTTGCTCAGAAAACTATTTTTGGCCATGGAGATGTACTTAGAAGAATCTTTGTATAAGACTTTTGCTCATGAAACTTCAAGTATCCATGTGACCTCATGACTACATATAGATTAATGTAAAGCTGCAGCAGAAATGTTACATAATACTTTGTTTATATTCTAAGAAAAAATGGTGTATAATCTTCAAAGAATTTGGTGATCATATTATGCCTAGCCTTTATTGCTTCTTTAGATGTTTCTTCTTCATTTCTGTTATATTCGTAGCCTTCAAGACAAGCCCATGGCTTCCACTGTTCTCAAAAGAAGTTGATGAAATACTTAATCCTCATCTGAAAGTAATCACTTGTGATGCAATGTCATAATCTATTGGCTATTCCTGTGATAAATATCTAAGGTGAGATATTCCATATGTGATTTGGGATGATGTTTTGTGATTAGAGATTACTTCAGTAACTTGGCTTCTTCTCACTAACAAAGATGTAGCAAAGGAACTTCAGATAGCTTCACATATGCTTCCTCTCTGAAGATAATTCATGACTTGTAGATCCATCTTAATTGTATGCAGAACACATAGGATAAATTTGTGATATTGTTTAACTTAACTGACATGTTTACATGGTTCTCATTTGTTCAACTAAGTGGAGAAAGTAAATTGTGAGATTTATTCCACTGAAAGTTTCTTACTATTCAACTGCAAAGCAAACAGAGTTGCTGGACACTGAACTGAGCACAGAAATTGAATTTTTCATCATTTTATACATTTACTGCAATTATATAGTCGACGCAAATATCTAGAACCACCCTGATAATAGATTGAACTATCAACTTTTTTTCTTCTATTTGCTCACTCTTTGCCTTGGTTAATCTTCCAGGCAAGTTGTGTTTCAGCTAAAAGAGCCAGTCAGAGATATACATATCTTGAAGTCATTCAGAGTATTGGGTTTCAGCAAGCTTGAAATGTTGCATAGTATGAATTCATGGAATTTGAATATTGTGGAAGATTCTATTCCACATATGACAAGTTGTTTTGATGATTAATTAGTTGTAGACATGTTCTGTGTACTTCACATGACCTTTCCCTTTCCACATGTGACCCACTGAACAGGAAGACAGGTTTAGATCTCTCTTGACTGACAAAAAGGAGGGGAAAAAATTAAAATAAGAAGAGGGATTTCAATCAAAGATTAGAACTTCTTGTCTGCTTTAGCCCCACAATCCTGATCCCATAATGCATTACACTGATCTAGATTGGTTCATGTGACACTGGATATTCATGCAAACATGCAGAGAACTTTAATTTATCAAGTCATCTAGGTCCATGTGAAGAGATCTAGATTTGTGTTCCTGAGTTGTTTGTTCAGAGAATCTTATTTTGGAGTTGTGCACTCAGCATTTGCAAGACAACAGGTCTTGATTGCAGACATGCTTGAAAGAACATAGACTAGTAGGGCTTAGACAATAACCATAAACTATTCATTCATGCATCCCTCTTTCCAAGTTGCTTTTTTGCATGGCACACAACAGATCCTCAGAAGTCAGAACTCATTGGTATATCCAATTCTTCTCAGCCACTATGCTTAGCTAAAAGAAAAGGCAACTCTTTTCCCCCTTTCAAGAGCTTTTGAAATTGGAAAAGCAAAAGGGGAAATGACACTCCACATATGGGAGGTTGCAAGACAAAGGAAGCTTTGCAGAGAACATTTCCCTTCTTTTCTCCCAAGAGGCCGAGTGTGGGTCAGTGGTGTCGGAGCAGTGACTCAATCTGATCTAATGAGTCTCTTCAACAGAGAGGATGTGTAGCTCTCTCATTCATAAAGAACAAGCTTGGATGGGAATGACAGAGGCAGGAATGGCCTTCTCAGAACTTGGGTTTATGCCTTCCATTTTGATAAAAGCTGGAATAGCTTGTTTGCCTCAAAGAACACCAGTGGCTGAAGGTTCCAAAGACCATTAATGTCTGTTCTTTTAGCTGGAGTTAGGAGATCTATCTATATCATGCCAAGCCAAATTCTTGTTTGCTAGAGCTCGAGTGATGTAGCACTTTGTCATACAAGTCAGAGATCTGGTATGGAGTACTGGTTTTGCGTGAATAGGAGTCTCTCTCATGGTGATTCTGAAGGAGTGAGTGGAATGAGGAAGAGGTGAAAGCATGTTGCAAGCAATCATTTTAGCCCTCAGCTCATGATGAATCATAGGTTGCTGCAGATTCTCATGCAAAGACTGGATACTGATGGAAAAGTGTGAGAACAAAAGGAAAAGCAATGGCCATGATTAGGTCACTGCTTTCAGCCCAAAGGGTCCTTTGCATCAAAGCTTTTTCTTTCACTAAAGATACCAAAAGTAAAGATGATCAGAATATCTCAAAGAATGTGTTTGTCGTGGTTGTAAGCTAATGATAACTATGGATTTGATGGCAGTAATGAAACATCAATGTTTGACCTCCTAACATGATCTCCTTCTTGCTGAGATGAGATGGTGGAGGTTTCAGCAAATGTTTGCAACCCTGACAAATAAGGTTGTGGTCATGGCAGACTTTTCATCTTAACTCTCTCTCTCTCT